TATGCGTCATCAAAAACTGGTGCCGACAATTCCAGTGTAACATCTGGATGAGGAGCTTTTCTCACTTGTATAGAAATATCTGACTTTGTTTTCCCGATATCCACTTTCTTTGCTATCTGAAATGCAAACATGAATGGCCTTTTAAGTAAATGCTTGATGAACCGGCGAATCGACTTTTAGAATGGCCATAATAGAAGAAATTATTGCTCTCTAAAAGCTAGACTCGTTACAAGAGATTTGTGGCATTTTTAGATTTTGCACTTAAATAAATACTTAAAACAGGTAAGAATAATGTAGCAAAGCATCAAATGCAGATAGCTTACTGAATTGGGTGGCGATATTATCAACCGGGTTGCATTGATACAAATATCGATGGTATAAGTTACCTCTCCGTTGAGCAAGGTCCCATAGAATGAGAAGGGGCAAGAGCGAACAAGGCTTTTAACAGAATTTACGTGGAATTTCTCAGTATTTGCAGTTAAGTACTCTGGCGCATCCTCCAAGGTGCTATCAATTATGGACTCGATAGTAGAGCCTGTAAAATTTGAGTCAACAGGAGATTTATGACTCACCATAAGCCAGTATGGATACTGGCAGAAGCGTCACCAGAAACAAGGTACCGTTGAACCGAAATAATTGCATGTTAAAAAGGTAGGGTTTTGTTGCGTTTCATTGGTCTAAGCTTTTATATCCCCTGCCCGTCGTGAAGATAAGCCAGTTGGTGACAGACGGGTGCGTCAGAGAAGAAAAGTGCAATACTTGAGGACTACATCACATGGCGCCATAATGGCGCTCTTTGGCTCGGTCCTATCTCAAATTACCTACAATGTATCTAAAAAGTGTGTGCACAGGAGTGATTGGTAACGCAATTAGTAAGTCATATGATTCTTGATCTTTCGACTGGAATTAACCTGGATTTGTTAAAAGGGCAACTGAATTAAGCAAGAATATTGGGCGAAGAATGACCCTGAGGATTAAGGGATGGGAGGCCATGGATGGCACCACTGTGATATTTAACTGGTGGCGATATGCGATAGAACTAGCCATGACTACAAGTTGTGTGCTTACACCATTCTATATGCAGTAATTCCTTTACTGATACACAATTGCCTTGTTTGGGGAAATAAAAGCAAAATTTCTGATCCTCACGGTCGTAGATGATGCGATCATGATAGTGTTATGGCCACAATCCTGGTAGAGGCCGGTAACATCAGAAGCTGCTGCACTGACAGCTTTTTTGAAAGGATCATTTAGTCATGGAAGGCATGCAGTTAATTTGAAAATAAATTGTTTGCATATTTGCAGAGATTCATTAAGACCGTGAATATTTTAATTTATGACATGGTAGTTTGTACGTGAGATAATCTCTGCCAGGCAAATTCATCAGTCTTACTCCATTGAGTAAAATAGTTACAAATAAGGTATGATTTACGGATTGAGCAAGAGTTTCAAGACTTATTAATGGTTTAGGATAGTGTCTTCCCTCTCTACAGAGTTAAAAAACACGTCTGTCCTGACACTCACAATTCTGTTCCTTGGCTTGACGATTCGCTTTCCTTCCCATTGGGGTAGTTATTGTTCACCCAGTTTGTCGAGCCATAGGGTGGGATATTTCAAGATGACCATGCGTTCTTGTAGAATTTCTCGGGGCCGCTCCGATTCTCAATATTTTGTCTGTCTACTAAATGCAAATTCTGACTACTCGTTTTATCCACCCATCTGCTCATATTCACGTTTTATCGCTCTGTTGTAGCTATTTTATTTATAAAAGTACCGCTATGTAAATTATCTTATGATGTAGTTCTGCTGGCTTTTCGCTTTCTTATTCTATATATATAGGCTAAATCTCCATGGGAAATGGGCGTTTAGGACCTACTTGTTAAGTGGTAACGTATTATGAGGACACAAAACGGCCATTAAGTCACTGGATCTTAAACGTAGTGGTTAGCATTTATATTCTAATTATACCTACTCGCTATGTTGCTGACTGGCCATTGCCGTTGTTCTCAAGTTTCAAGGTAAATAATGCACACAAAACACCTGGGATAGGCAGATCATTCGCTTTTCTAGAAGAAGAGATGCGTCTTGTCGTATCTGCGGTTCTGACTCAGCATCACTCATTTGATGCTAGTTTAGAGTGTGCAGGTCAGTTGTTTAATGCATGCATGCTGATTTGGATAAGTAGAGGACTAAATTGGGTGTAGCTGCCTGTTGCAACATTTACCTGGCAAAAACCCTTATCAGCAATCACACCGGTCTGGAACTTTGAGCTTGATCATCACGATTCCCATGCCCGAGCTCGAGTTGTTGGTGCTATGCGGTAGTGTGTCATCTAGCATGCTCTGTGGCATTTCCCTTTCTTTATTGAGTATCGACAGCACCAAACGGTGATGCCTTTGGCGCGGAGGCAATGCACATGCAACTGTAGTTATACTTTAATCATGCCAATCACTCCCAAGATGATTTTTTCTGTGTAAATGTGCAAAGTACTTTCGATGAATCACTCAGTCTAAGTCTTCTTTGATGCAACTAATTGAAGGCTCTTGGGCCACCAGTAATTACCTGTAGGAAGAGTAAGGTAAGTGTACGTAATGATACTTGTATTACAGAAACACGTCTTTAACGATGCCACCAAACTTGTACTTATGTCAACCCCAAAACTGTCATACGGAACCCGAACCAAATTCCTGCAAATGGCTAATCGATTCCACTTCCTTATGATCATTTCTGAGGACTAAATTTGTTCGTTGGACTCCTAAAATTTCCTAAGTTAAAGTCTGAGTAAAACCACTGCGTTTCGCGACCTGGGAGCACCAGTGGGTCTTTACTTGGAGTTCAGCCCACCTAAAGGAAGACAGTACTTCAGCTTCCCTAGGCACCATTCTAACCATATAAATCTTAAAGATCCATTCCGCTGAGAAGGGCATTAACACCACTCGCAACAATACGTGAAGCACCAGGGCAATCGATGGAAGTCATTAGGACAGCAGGTGCCATTGAAGTGGGGAAGCAGTGACACACTGCTTCACACCAATTACTGTGTGCTGATTATGGTAAAGACTAGTGGAATCGGAAAAAAGATGGAGTGAATGAAGGCTGAGGATGGATTTAACGATGGGATATGCATGAAATGTTTCATGCGATGGAAGTATGAAGGCCTGAAGTTCACTTTCAGTCATTGTTTCTGCCATAAGTAGTTATAATATTTTTATTAATCAAACTGATAAGGGTGACTAAAATAACTATTTTTTGCCATATGCATTATCAAAAGCCGATTCACTGAATGCATCTTGAGCTCAGAGCGCACGACCTTGTTAACTTGTACAGAAATTTCCAACTCAGTCTCCCTATTCCCATTTTGTCCAAAAGCTGAAACAATGAAATTAATGGTCAGCGAATTGAAACACAGCATGTAATGGAAATAAAACATTAGAATAACTAAAAAGCAAAGTCTATCGCATTCAAAAGCAATGGTTTAATTTAGATGATGTGGGGAAACATGGCTCTTAGATATAAAACCAAAGACAAACACAGATATCTTATTGACGAGGAGAAATTGAAGAAAATGGAATTAATGTGGCAAAGTATAAAGAGTATAAAACGTACCTAGGTGAGAGTAGCTTTAATCAACTGGATTATATTGATGCAATTACCGAGAGTACAGGCTATCACTAGATAAACATCTCATTGGCACTAACCGATATCTCTTAAAACAAAGCCTTTAGGTTCTCTATTCCCTTAATCACATTTTCAAATTTCCAGTGTCCTTTGTCTCGCGACCAAGTTAATAATTATTTTATAGTTATACTTTACTACTTGCGTATCAATCATACCTACATCCAAAATTTTTATAAATGCCCTGCTCCTAATATACCAAAGGTTCGAGCTAACACGCGTGATTATGGCACCATCTGATATGACCTTCATACACCTCATCTTTCTATTCTGACGTAACTGCATCTCACAAATTAACTTCAGCCTTATGACACATAGGAAAGATTAGCTGGTAATAATGAAACAAACCAGAACTCTAGCTCTGTAAAATGGAGTTCTTTTAAAGCAAATGCATTACAACGATACAAATTTTAAAGACGTAATTTGCCTTTCGGTGGGGCAGGATCTAGTGAATTGAAAGGGGCGGAAACGACTAAAGCTATCAAATTATTTCACATAAAATTTGGTATCATATGTGGCAAGGTATTCTAGTGCCTTCCTCAGCGTGCTGTCATTTATGGACACTATGACGGGACCTGTGCAGGTTGTCAGCAAGAGGAGCTTTGCAACTCACAATAGGCCAGAATAGACACTGGCAGAAACATTATCAGGAGTATTATACCATTGGACCGAAAGAATTGCATGTAATAAGGGTAAAGTTCTACTTTGCTTTATTTGTTCTAGCTTTTATGGCCATTTTGTAACATGGCTGACCCTAATTAGTGAGAGGAGGCTACATCAGAAGGGAAAGATGGATTAATATGATGTCAAATCAGACAATTCAGTCGAGCTTGACGCTCGAACCTTATTGCAAATTAGGTGCAATGCATGCAAAGGGATGAATTGAAACGTGTGGCCTCTTGAACAACCCTAACCTAAATACTCAAAAAAAGAGAAAGGAAATTATCAACAAAAATGATCTTGTTTTGGTAATGCTTAAAGAATATTAACTTTTAATGTATTCCACCGTGTACATGACCCTTGCTGATGTATAAGATGGTTATTCTGAGTTCTTGGACGTTTTCCATCCCAAACGCGATAATTGGAGCATGTTTCTTAGTCTCACATATTTTATTTGCTGCCAACTTCGTCATTTGACCTATGACACTCCTCATAACAAAGAACTGGTATTGCCAACAGTTAAAACTGCTTCAGTGGGTGCGCTGTGTGGTGTCTACGGTATGCCAGATCCGTGCGCACAATAAGTGCAAATTTTAACACCTAAGTGCACTGTTTATTTTAATTTTGTGTGGTAGCATTCGATGCATCCCAAATTAAGTTGTTTAACCAGTATGATGCAGCTAAAGGTACATTAATTTAGCATTTTATAGCCTGTACAATTGATAGGAGAGAATTTCAGTAAATACTTGAATGACTGACAATTCTCAAGGCATTTTCACCATCTGTACGCTATTATTGCTAGGCTGGAAAAGTTGACTTCTGGTCATGTCTGTGCATTATATCAAAATTTCCTTACAAGCAAATTTTTCTGTAGCACATTTTTTAAAGAAAACCCTTGCACGGCCACATGCAATTGCCACGACTTACTAGAATTACTAACATTTACTTTCATTTGAACCAAAATGCAAGTGAAGTGACGGTGCTGTTAAGGCACAGCACCTCAAGTATTTGCTAAAGACACAGCAAAGTTCTCCTACCCGAATTAACTTTTCCTCACTTGGTTAAGAATGGATGATATGATCTAGGCGGAAGCACAAAGCCATGGCATCAAGACCTACATTAGAATCGTGATAATAGGAATGTAGCTCTTTCAGAATATAATTATTCTGTCAAACGTGAGGCTTTGCGGCCCTTATTTGGCCGTAGTTAGATCTTTTTGTAGACTGGTGACGTTGAAGCTGCAGTAGCTCTAGAATGTGGATGTCTGTGTCACCGCCTTTGGTGTCATCGAGTTTGTGAGTTTTGTGCAGATAGGATCGTAAGAAACATCAAATCAAAGTATGATAAGTGCGTTTACTCCTTCCCACTAATCATGAAAAATGAGATTGTAGCTGTCTTCAGTTTATGATGTTGCTTGTTCTACCACTTTGAATAGCTGACTCATGTAAAAGGAGTCTGGGCGATTTCACTTGCCAGACATTATTAGACTTAGTAGACATCGCCTTGTGTTGCATAACTATTACTCCATTATTTTGAGACAACTATGTTTGAACGTGTTGAGTCTGACTTGCACGATTGGCTCATTGTCTTCACAAGAGTAAAAAGAGCTATTCAAGGCATGAAATATGGCCGTGGAGGTAGTCCTGGGCGTAGTAATCTCTAACCCTTTTTTTGAGTATGTGAAAGAAGGTGGTGCTACAAATGCATTAAGTGACAGCTAAACTAATTGCAAAAAGGGTAGGCTAATTAAGAAAGCTTCTTAACCGAAACAAAAGCAAAGAGACGCGTATCATTCCTCCTCATCTGCGGTTGACTAACCGAAATAACGCAGAGTTGAACATGTTGGGCCATGTGGCCATCGTGCAGAGTGGCATGCTGCCCATTACCCAAGCGGTGCTACAGCCGAGGAAGAGGGAGAAGCCGGTGGTCAGTAAGGACTAGACGACCGCTTGACTGCCTGACTGACTCTTCCAGCCTGCAGCCGTTAATGCCATAACGGCACTGCTGGGGCTTACCACAAAGAGGAATGTTGAACAGCTGATGTAGTGTTGGACTGACGACTGCATGACCCGCTGAAGGTTGTGTGTTGGTCTGCATTACTACTTTGGGTGCAAGGGTTGCAGAGATTAGCTGTAGTGCTGTAGTGTTATATAGAATTGGGACTGAGGTTTGGGTGGAGTGCGGTGCTTCCGTTCTCTGTCTTGAGCGTGCTCATGCGTCGTATCCGCCTACCGGTGGTAGGGTAGAAGTTTAATGGCAAGAGAATTTCCCACAACACTTTGCATAAATCTGATTATGATTGTTAGCCATGTTCATCTATAGATATGGACGTGCACACGAACTATAAGAGGTAAGTTGAGTGGGTTAAATATGCATGAATGCGGAATCATAATAGGAAATATGTTGGAAATGACCTGATACTACTGCATAGTAGTGCTTCAAAGCGAGGATTTGAGTGAAGGGGAAGGAAATGTTGGAACAAGTGTATCACTAACCAGTGGTCTAAAATAAACTGACAGGTTCTATTAAATCTGATTACTGTCAATCAGCAAACCAGATAGCAAATGCCAAGATGCTTTCGCCAGTGCCATTTTCTTTCACCATCTTCGCTTTGACGCTTTGGGACTTTGCATTCTGCAACCGCAATCTCCTCTTGCTTTCCAATTCTTACGATTTCCACAAAACTGGAATATTCTACACGACTCTGCTCCACAGCGTTCCGCTCCACCATTGCAATTGCTCCCTATACTCCCTTTACCGCTTTTAACCCTCTCTGCTGGTCTGCCACTGAAAAGCATGCCAATGAGTACTTGCTTGAGACAACTTAAACTGCCATCAACCCGAAGGCTTTAGTGAACTAGTAAACGAGCTTGCTGTTAAGGGCAGCTTTCCTTGACACCTGGCATTTGGTATTCCTTTGCCTAAGGAAGTCTCCACTGAGTAGCGTGTAGTGTGCATGCGTATTCTTATTTTTGGATTTGTAAGGAATGTCACCACAATATTTTGCAAATAAAGTAATAAGGTAAAATTTTGTCACAATTTTTTAATTATAAATCAGATACAATGCAAATCACCCGTGATCGGAACGATACCTTAGTGGTCTTGAATTCATCTCACCGGATGATTCAACAAAGCCGCCCGAGTCAAGTTCTGTGGATATGCCAGCCATTTTAGAGGTGGTATGGTAGGAAAGATGAGCCAGTTATGCTGCTTAAGTGACTGGTAAATGGAAGTAGTAGATACCTTTGTGGTTTCTCAGAAAATAGTAACAGAGCAAGAACTACAAAGTCACTTAACCTACATTGAAGTGTTTGACCTTCACTTTTAAAATTATATCGAGAAAATCGGTTTGAAACCCGTAAACCCTCCTAACAACTTATTTACTGGTTGTTATACACATTACACTAACATTCACACTGTTAAATAAAGATAAAGAAACCCTTTTTACGATTGCAGATATCCCCAAACCAAATGACACAATGCACACAGCACTGGTTGAAACATACCCTGTAAAGCAACTAAAAAAATTTAAATATAAAGGCTTAACATCATCCCGGATCACACTGGATGTCAAATATCTGAATACATGGCTCATTAAGACAAATGAAAACTGTTTTAGGAAAAATCGTTCGCAATCAGTGAATGCCAAAAAAGGACATGCGGCCCAGTACTATCAAGTTCTGAAGTCGTTTAAGCACGTTGGAGAAGCCACGGTGACATCAGATATAGAAAAATCATTACTGAGACCAGGATCAGGTTTATGCTACAGATTGGAGCATCACTTATTTGTGTTTAGTGTTAAGTGAATCTTCTAATTTCTCTTAACTCAGTCTTCGCTAGAATAAGGTAAGCCTTTGCTCATGCCATCTAGGCTTGTAGCTTACCATAATCTTTATGCATTGCAGTCAAATAGGAACTCTTAACAAACCGTCCTTCTGCTGCGTACACAATGGGATCACACACGTCAGATCAGTTCAGAAATCTTAATTAAGGGGGGGATAAACTCGAGCTCGATGATACATGCTTACGCAAAAATAGCACAAAGATAAAGGATTAGATAGTTTAGTCAGCTGGGAAACAGCCTTTTATCTGCAAAGGCTGGTCCCCGCAGTAGTGGCTTCTATCCAACGCCATAATAACTCTTCCGTCCCAGCTAGTAAGCCACCGGATTCTTGGCTTTCACTCAGTGTACAATGCACAATGAATGGCTTCCAGCAGTTATTAAATTGATTTCAAATCGCCATTTTAATTGTGCCGTTTGCAGCAGCCGTAATTCAGCCTTTGCGTTAACTTATACTACAGTGCGCTTAAAATCCTAGGGCTTAGAACCTAATTACTCCACTCATTAATATTACAGTCGGTAATATCTCATCTAGATCTTGACAGCTGACCACCATGGTTCACATGCCTCGTTCACTTCCATCAACAAGGAAATGGATGTTTATCTCCACAATTCCACTTAACATTAGGACCTACTTTAAATTTCGAATAAACACTGATAAAAGTGCACAAAACTATAGTATAGTAATATAAAATATTTTAAAATACAACACGGAATTGTTAAGACATCTCACAGCTTTGAAATGGAGATTTATTGGGCATGAGCAGAGAGAGAGAGTCTTGTGCTGTTCGTCTTGGTACCACCACCAGAAGAAAAAAGGGGTCATTTTAGTGCCCCAGGACCCCTTCAGCCCATCGCTCCGAAATGCGACGGCTGCAGTGGTTCCACGCGAACATTTTCCAACAGCGCTAAGCTTCTGATGGTGGGATTTATGTTTGCTCTTTGCCGTCCATGCCCATAGCTTCCTTTATAGTGGTAAGTCATGTTACAGCGTCAGGCCTGACACCATCCGCACATCTACCACTATTGCTATTTAAAATATTCCCTTTCCTCGTAGTAGACGTTAGTGGAAAAAAACGAAGAGGTCTGAGGCCTTCTGTTAAGACGAACGGGGTCGCGGCAGTGCGAGAGGGGCGGTTACTGATAGGCACTGGGCATACCAAGGCACCATCAATATCGTCCCCATCAGAGGGACTTGCACCAATGCTGCGACTGATGCTTCTGACTTCGTCATTAACCGAAGACAATGCTGTCGATCTCTCAGCCGCTGCCAAAGAGGAGCGCCAAGAACTTAAACCAAATGCATGTT